TGAGTGGGTGGTTTCATCCTGCAAGAAGGGAGTCCTATACTCTTAAGGGGACTGATTTGTTCCCTGGATGAAATCACTGTCGTACACCCACCTGCCAGATTATGTATGCACGTGTTTTAGTGGAACTACATGCTAGTTTTAATGAGTTCCCACAATTCAATTTCTCTAGGTTTTTAAAGCTAATGTTTTGGTGAGTCTTCAATTCTGATTCTGTACAATTAACTTTGTCAGTTACATTCACATTACATATTTCTCCGTCTGTGCTAAGGTGATTATATCTTCTATCTCCTTATGACCAGATCCCAAAGCCCTGCATGATCATGGATATATTATACAACCATTACCGATAAGGTGAAGTGTTGACGTCAATCGTACGGGCAAAGTACTATCAATGAGTATTCCAGTTGATTGTTTTTGCTACATTTTTCACTCACGCATCTTCTGAAACATTTTTGCTTGTTATCGTTGTTGTTGTTGTTGTTGTTGTTGTGTAGTAGTAGTAGTAGTAGTAGTTTCTCGTTTGCATTACACCTAACCTCGTTGTGTCGAACACGTGGGTACCTTGATAGAAGTTCGAGTTATCCGGTATGTTGAACTGTATTGCTCTTTATTTTCCTTACCTTCACTTGTTAAGAGAACTCCCACGCGGGTAAAATATCTTGATATCTCAAAACAGCATAGTCCCCTAAAACGGAAATAGACACTAATAAGTACTGAGTGAGTGAGTGAGAATTGTTTTACGCCACTTTCAGCAATATTCCAGCAATATCACGGCGGGAGACACCAGAAATGGGCTTCACACATTGTATCCATGTGGGGATTCGAACCCGGGTCTTCAGCGTGAGGGGCGGTGGGGTAGCATAGTGGTTAAAGCGTTGGCTCGTCACACCGAAGACCCGGGTTCGAATCCCACATTGGTACAATGTGTGAAGCCCATTTCTTGTGTCCCCCGCCGTGGAATATTGCTAAAAGCGGCGTAAAACCAAACTCAGTCAGTCAGTCAGTCTTCAGCGTGACGAGCGAAAGCTTTAACCACTAGGCTACCCCACCGCCCAATAAGTACTGAACTACAGGGCCAAATAAAGTATACACAGGATAGTGCACTTGACTTTACACAATGAAACTGCCACTCCCTATTCCAACACTAAGGTGATCGAAACTCCCTTACTTCAGCATCGGTTTACGACCTGTGAAGATCCGGGTTAGAATTGGTCTTCACCAACCCATGCGATTAACGGGATCGGGCTTTCAAGCTCGCTGATTTGGTTAACACATGTCACTGTATCCCGATTGCGTAGATCGATGCTCATGATGTTGATCACTGGATTTTGTGGTCCAGACTCGATAATTTACAGACCGACGCCATATAGCTGGAATGTTGCTGAGTGCAGCGTTAAACAACCAACCAACCAACCAACCAATCCCTGTGACGTTCGTTGAACACCACCCGTTGTGAGACACTTTCGTCGTGATTCTTTTTATGACCCTTCAGTTTTTTATTGCCAATGGGCTGTGTAAATAATTTGATGTATTGAGATTTTATACCTGCGATTTTATATCTGTGCTGACACATGTACACAAACGTCGACCAGGTCTCCTCAAAACGCTGTTTGGGAGGTGTACAAACCTCTTTTCTGTTCTGCTCTCGTGTTCTGTGTTTTTAGTCAATCACTTATCAACGCGAGTTCTGGAAATACAGTACAACCAGAAATTATTGAGAATTTAAAGATTGTAATTATTTTATTTTTTTCACTCATTACTCAGGTATGAAATGTGAATATTAGCAGAACATATCTCCAGATTCAAAGACAGGTGAACAGTTAGTATTTTGTCAAGTCACCATGGGCAGCAATGCAGGCTTCAATGCGGCGGGGCATACTACTGATCAACGAAGTTAAAAAGTCGTGGTCCATGCTGTCCCAATATCGGACCACCTCTTCTTTCATTTCAGCAATATTTGTCAGAATTTTCTTATTGACACTTTCCTTCATAAGTCCCCAAACATTTTCTATTGGATTTAGGTCAGGGCTATAGCTTGGCCAATCTCATAACGTCATATTTTGGGTCCGAAACCAGGCCTGTGAATGCTTTGAACGATGTTTAGGGTCGTTGTCCTGCTGGAAAATGCAAAACTTTCCATAGAACACGTGAGCAGATGGAAGTAAATGTCCCTCGAGAATATCTGTGTACCGCTCATTGTTCATATTCCTTTCAAATACACAGAGGGGCGTTGCCCCTAACACAGATATGCCACCCCACACGTTAAATTTCGGACTGTATTATGGGAGCTGCTACAAAGGTTTTTCAGTTTGTTTGGTCCAGAATTTCAGTGTATTATGAAACAGCCACACAGAACTTTCATCTGAGAAAATCACATTGTCCCAGTTAAAAATTTATGCTCTAAGTACCAGTTCAACCTTCGCTCCTTTTGTTCAGGTTTCATGATCGGTGATGGAATTCCTCGACTTTTCTACCCACCCATTGCATGCAGCTCAGTTCTAATTGTCTCCTTACAGGCAGTCACAGTTCCTCTATCAATCATATCCAGCCTTAAGTTTTCTAAACTCCTTCGTTTGTTTTTAGAAACAAGAATACCAAGCCGCCTCCTGTCACCGACAGTCAATTTCCCTGGTGCTCAATGCCATATCCATTTGCAATATTTTTCAAAACACGATAAACAGTGGACAAAGGGATGCCTGTTCTACTTGAAATCACTTTAGCTGATCTGATGTCCTTGTTATTATACTCTAAAATCAACTTCCTCTTCTCTAAATCATCCATACTGAGGATCACTGAAAATGTCGTCTGCTAGCAAATAAACAAAGGGGGTAACTCTTCACAAACTAATGAAAAAGGATTAACGAAGTTGTATCTCCTGAATGAAACCAAGCACTTGATAGCTGGTCAAGGTTGTTTATACTAGAAATCCAATTAAACATATTCCTAAAACTCTCAATAATGTCTGGTCATACTATAGTATTAATATAGCAGTTGTGCACGATGGAACTAGGTGTTTGGCCATCTTGAAACATATTTTCTGGTATTCTCCCATTTTTCACTTCTTCACTGACCTTCTTCATCTCCAAACATCAGATTTCACATCCTCCTTTGTATGACAGTGAGTGACTTTAGTTTTACGCCGCTTTTAGCAATATTCCAGCAATATCACGGCGCGGCACACCAGAAATAGGCTTCACACATTGTATCCATTTGAGGAATCGAACCCGGGTCTTCGGAGTGCCGAGCGAACGCTTTATCCACGAGGCTAACACACACACACACACACACACACACACCGCCCCCCCCCGCCCCCCCCCCACCGTCTCTATAACAAGTGAGGGGGGTTGTACTCCAGCAATGAATCTCGATGTAATTGTACCTAAACAGCACATGGCATCACAATAAAGTAATGTCCTTTTTCTTCCAGTACTGCTTTTTCAACTTCTTCTACTACCTTTTGACTTCTTATTTTCTCTCTCTTCTTCTACTTTTTCTATTTTTACGTCTTCTTCCTCCACCCTCCCTACTGCTTCTTCTACTGTTTTTTTATCTTCTACCTTTAGTACTTTTTCGCCCTCTTCGTTTCCTTCTTCTACTTTTTCTTCTTCTCCTTCTTGAATACACAACACCTAATTTTGTAAGAAATCAGATGCCCTGATGTCTGTGATCATTGGAAACACGGCGTCTCGTAAATGCTCGCCAAGTAGTTTAACAGGGTACAGTCGTGACACTAGTCTTTCGTTACTTTCCTGATAAGTAAATCATTTTGCGGACAAGTAAATCACTTTACTGACAAGTAAATCTTTAAAAATACCATCATCCTCATAGTAATGATGGAGTTAATATTTAAACTAAAGAGGAAGCGTTATAATCCACAAGAAATTATGAGAAAAATACATTATTTACACGTGCAATCATAACGGCATTGTACAGTTTTATTGTGTACTAACACTTTTTAAGAATTTAGGATTGGAAAGATGTTTTCAAATATCAGAACAGGAAATAGGAACCTGTAAAAGCACAGCATTTCTGATAGTGAATGAAATTGAACTTCTTTACAATGATGATGGTGATGATACCGACGACAACGATGATGATGATGATGACGACGACGACGGATGATGATGATGATGATGATAGTGGTGATGGTTGTGGCGCTGACATGTTTTAGGTTTTTGAGAAATAGGAAAATGTAAAAGCACAGCATTTCTGTTAGTGAATGAAATTGAACTTCTTTACAATGATGATGGTGATGATACCGACGACAACAATAATGGTGATGATGACGACGACGACGGTGATGATGATGATGATGATGATAGTGGTGATGGTTGTGGCGCTGACATGTTTAGTTTTTGGGGAAATAGGAAAATGTAAAAGCACAGCATTTCTGTTAGTGAATGAAATTGAACTTCTTTGAGGTGGTTGTTGTCACCCATTTTGTTCAGGCTGCTCCCTGAACATGTTTCTATGTTTGTGAACATTAGATCACCACGGTTGTACTCGTCTACGACCTGCACCTGATGGTAAGACATTAATGTCAAGGTCACTTCAATGTTAATGCCAAGGTCACTTTAGTGTTAATGTCAAGGACACTCCAATATAAATGTAAGTCACTTCAATGTTAATGTCAAGGACACTCCGATGTCAAGGACACATTAATATTAATATTCAATGTCAAGTCCATGTTTCTCTTACCATGTTTGTCACCAGCACACCCTCCCATATCAAACTGACAGGCATTGTTTTACCTGAAATTAGGTTTAATGCGGCGTAAAATCCAAAACACTGTCACCCGTTTCTGGTTTTAAATGGACGCTGGACGTCGATTCTTCCATTCACTACCTTTCGTTTCCCCTTGACGAACGCCTTTTCCTGCTGACACGCCAGACACTCACTTTTTTCTTAACTGCGCATTTCATAAACAAATATTTTTGTGGTTCCTATTACTCTGTTATGACTGGAGTTATTTGCCCTTTGTTTCAGGGTCGGCGTTGACGATGGCACAGACGGGGCCGCCTCCCATGAAGGCGGGGAGACTCTATGTCAACCCAGAGGAGGAGGATCAAATGGTAAGATACTTCAATGTTAATGCCAAGGACACTTCAATGTCAATGTCAAGGACACATTAATGCCAAGTCCATGTTTCTGCTACTGCCAGTAACACAAGAAGGGGAATAAACGGCAGAGGTGTCGTGGTGCCATAATTCGCAGTTCGGAGTTCTGTCCCTTATCTGTGTCAGGATCCGTTGGTCATTGGCTCAAAAGATAATTTCCTCACTATTATGATGTGTGTTATGTTGGTAACACCAGGACATGCGTTGGTATCATGGGAAAATTGCAAAACAGTGCAGAGCCTCCGATAATTGTGAAGGAAAATAAATAGAAATGTTTTAACAACAAAGTGGAGGTAATAATGTATCGGTCCAAGCATTTCTCCTATAGGTGCCTCGGCATAGCTAAATGCTGCTCAGCTTATGGTGAAACTCGGGACTTCACTCCACCAGCAGAAACATTGACAAAAGTTAAATAAAATGCCAGAGGAAAAGATTACACAATTTTGAATATCCCGAGGGGCTGATTCCATTTTGTATAAACGTGACATCTCATAAAGCAGAGTTGCATTTAACGAGGCGAAATTACTGCCCAATAACCTTCAGGTTCTCTACAATATACTTATAACATAATAAGGCCACTATTCTTAAATATGACTTTATTTAATCCGTAATCTGTTGGTAATAACGCTATTGGCAAACTTTGTTTTTCATATTCTATTTTGCTTGAAATCATATACTGACAAAACATTATTGTTGTACTCAGAAACTGCTTATGGGATATGAATGCCGCTGTCTACAAGTTTCAGAAGTATAGGAATGTCTGTTGTCAGTTCCGACTGACGAATCTCTGAGTTTGTGACGTAATATGTAGCCGTGAATTTCTGGTTTACCAATCCACGCATATCGTAAATTCGTAATATTCACCGGATCGAGTTTTCAGGCTCGCCGACTTGGTTGATGCATGTAACTAAATCTCAGTTGCGTTGATCGGTGCTCATGATGTCAATCACTATAATGTCTAGTCCAAGCTAGATTGTTTCCAGACAGCTGGAATGTTGCTGTAAGGCGACTTTAAACAAAGGTGGTATGTTATTGAGCACTACCCAGGAAAACGTCCAACTTTTAAGCAGTTTCCGAATCATGATAAATGAATACTCTACCAACGATTGGCATTCTATGATAAAGAGATTACCGCGTTGTGTGTGTTTGGGTGGTAATATATCCTGCATTAAGACCAAGACATAACCAATAAACCTTCTAAACTTCCACACTGGAAAATCAATACTAATTATTACTGATTTGCGCTCAGCGCTCAATCCGGTTCGATTCCCCACATGGGTACAATGTGTGAAGCCCATTTCTGGAGTCCCCCGCCGTGACATTGCTGGAATATTGTTTAAAGCGGCGTAAAACTAAACTCACGCACTGTACCTTGTGACGCCATGAGCACGTCAACTGTTGAGACACACATTGATAATGATGCATGTAAACTCGGCATCAGTATCGACTACATCATCATTAAATAGCTATACTACTCACACTTTGCTAAGGAATCACAAAAATTCGCAACTTTACTTAAACGTAGATTTTTAGTTTGAAATTATATCCATTTAAAACTGGATAAATAGTGATATGGTAACACATCTTCTGCAAAACAGCCACTTTAAGCTAACCGTATGCACTTGATACATGAGTAACCATAAAAATGGTTTTCATGGCACCTGTCAACTATTTTGCAAATCATAGCAGGTATGGGATCCACCAGATGAAATGACATACTGAAAACTTGGATCCATGCTTACAATTTGTCCCCACATCATAGTTTTCTGTTGAATCAATGATTTGATCCTTAGCAAAGTGTGAATAACTATTTCTTATTAGTCTCATTTAAGCCACCGTCAAGCACTTTCTTTTGGCCGGAACTGTATATTGTCTGAGGACTCGTCAACATACATACCAACGACACACGAACCCTGTCAAAACATGTACGCAGTTTGTAACCTGTTGGTTATTTTGGGACATGAAACCAAGCCCAACAGTTCACAGGGATTGTCTCAAACGACGGCGCTATCTATTTTATATCTGTGCTCACACTCACACTCACACTCAGATCAACACTGTCCTGGAGTTTATCTCGGTTAAAATTGTGCGAAATCCATTTTGAACAGGATTATCCAGGTTACGTGGTATCACGTTGCATGTCACAAGTGATTTTTCATATAAGACTTATACATAACCGTATTTCTATTAGGAATATTTTTGTTTCAAAACTGTCGTCATGTTGAATGAATGATTTACTTGCTGATGGATCGATGTGTATGCAGTTGACAGTATATATTTTTACGTCAGTACGCCATTGCTACCGAAAGGTGACGGAATATGACGAGTGCATCCGAAGGCTTGTTTACATGTTATCCTTGGTTGTGATGTGATGTGCACCTCATCTTATATCGGGAAGACGTACGGCCGGTCAGTCGTCAATGACACCGCAATTCTCTATGCAGAGTTGCTTCCCTTGGGCACGGCAGAAAGCTATGATCGTGGATGTGAAGGTCACAATTTGCCCTGAACATAATTCTCAGTTTGTCTGCTCAAGCGTTTGACAACAGTTTTAAACGACTCAAACATGTATCGCTTTGAACTTTCCTTCCTGACAAGCAGTGATATTACTGAATATTATTGAATACTGTTCGAAGACGCCTAAAACCCCACTACTCACTCACTCACTCACTCACTCACTCACTCACTCACTCACTCACTCACTCACTCACTCACTCACTCACTGACTCACTCACTCACTCACTCACTCACTCACTCACTCACTCACTCACTCACTCACTCACTCACTCACACTCTTGTGAAGACAATTGGTCACATCGTGTCAAGTCCCGTCAGTTACATTCCAATTCATCGAACTGACACAGAATATGATTTAATGAATTCAAAGTTCTCTGTTTGCAAATTCTCTCAAACTATCGACAATTTATTTTGAAAAGTCCGGCTCTTATCACATTTTAAGACCGACAATCGTCATCTGTATTTTTAACACATCTCGTAATATTGATATAGTTATATTGATATTGATATATTTTAAAACAGTTGTTCAGAATCCAAGTTTCATTCATCGCTATGAGTGTTTTCGGATCATGTTTATTTCCCCTGTAACCAAAAGTTTTATTTCATTACCTTGAAGGATTTCTGCAAATACTCTCGAACTTTAGTAAAAAGCGGCGTTGGATTCCTCCAATTGGGGAATTGGAATTAAAAAATTACAGATGTAGTTGGTCCTTCCTTACTCGTGGTTAGGGGTTGGGATGGGGATGGTGTGGGCGGTCTATGACATGCTCGTAATATACCTGTCTTTTCAACAGCGAAAGGAAGCCATGTGTTCAATGTGTCGCAGTCTGTGATTTGCAGAATTTAGAATTGGTTTCTGCAGAAAAATCATTGGCCCCGCACCGTACGCTCAAAGTCAACAACTAAAGTGCAGGACCGAACTTTTAAAAGAGGATTTTTAAGAAAACAAGTCAACTGGCCGTTCACTTTCACCAGACCACTGGAATTGAAGTTTCTGACCATACGATTTGAAATCTTGTTCATGCAGCTCAGCTGGCGATTAGGTGTTGTACCTCCGTTAACAAACTGAAACATTCTAGGCATTTCAATGGTGTTTTAAGAGTAACCTTTAAGGGATCGCCGTCATGTCTTCAGATAAGTCCAGATTCATCTTGGATATGCCGAGACTTCTCTGGAGGTGTCTCAGGGTAATCGACATGACACATTCATGGATGAAATGCCACTGGTCAAGATCAAAATGCCGGCCAGAGCACCCTTGATGGGCCACTAGGCACCGCTACAGAGACAATACACTGGCGACAATAGTTGAGTGTCATGCTGGTTTTTTGGCTTTCAAGGCGTATAGGAACTGACTATCTTTGGCAACAAAACATTATCAGAATGCAATGAACAAGCACATGCTCAGGAGACGTAGAAGCGCATGTCAAAGGTATTTCGCCGAAGATTAAAAGAGGAACACAATGGGTAAATTTTGGGTGCCTTCTTGATATCCTAGGATATTAAAGGTATCGGTGTTGAACCAAACTCTATCATCCACTTTATTTCAGGAAATCTCCGGGTTTAGGCCCCATAAGCTGAAGACAGCTGTCGTGTGGTTCTTCATCATCATCACGGTCGGCCTGCTGAGACTCTTCTTCTATTGGCTGCCACACCTGTTTGTAAAGGCTACCCACTCCAGGTGCTCACTGGCGGTTGCTACAACAGTGTTATTGAAGGTAAGGCCATCCACTCCAGGTGCTCACTGGCGGTTGCTACGACAGTGTTATTGAAGGTAAGGCCACCCACTCCAGGTGCTCCCCGGTAGTTTCTACGACAGTGTTATAGAAAATAAGGCCATCCACACAAGGTGCTTACTGTCCATGTTACTGAAGGCGAAATCAGTTGATTATAAAGTATATCGTTACTTGGTATGTGTATGTCTGGTAAAGGCAACTTTCTGTATTTGATATCTTGTAATTTTTAAAATTTTGTTTCAGGACCAGTGGAAGGACTGGTTTAAATCCACTGTGAAAACACAGTGAGTGTGACTGCTTGCATATTCATACATATTCCGAAAGCTCAGATAGAAAACGTGTTTTTCACAACGTATGTTGCTAAGGAGCAAGATGCACGTGCATATTTAACATACATACACGTTATCAGTTCTTGATAAACTATCATAAATAATGTTTATGTAAAAACAATGTTTGTTCAAAGATTTTAGTTGCCAAGGTTCTTTGAATGTTGGTTCTAAAAGTCATACATATTTGGCCTTTTCAAATCCCGTATTTTATCGAAACCAACAAAATGAATGAGTGAGTTTTACCTTTTACGGCGCTTTTTGCAATATTACAGCAATAGCACGGCGGGGGACACCAGAAATAGGCTTCACACATTGTACCAATATGGGGATTCGAACTCGGGTCTTCGGCGGGACAAATAGACACTTTAACCACTATGCTACCTAACTGCCCCTCAATATAATGTGTGTATGAAGACATGTGCACTATCTGCCAGAGACCTGACGGGCCACTCCAAGAACACCCAGACGCCGCAGCGGGCACAAGCCTCCAACGCATCAACCAAGGTGAGATGTTATTATGTTACAGGTGATTTAACAAAGGTGTTAGAAGGACCAGTGTAGTGCGGGTTAAAGCACCGGAATGACACAGACGATTGGTGATAAGAAACGAACTTTGTTCTCGGACTCTTAGCCAATATATACTGATCAAAAGAAGTAAAAGAACGCCTGATTCTTTTCAAGACCTATGCTCTGTACTGATCAGGTAACTGATATATTTATGGTGTGGTTATTTTAAGGATATATTTGTGATATTACGGACATATTTATGACGTTACCGACATATCCTTGTCGATACTTTTTTATGATGTCACAGCTATAATTTATGATGTCACGGCTACATGTATGATGTCACGGATATATTCATGATGTCACGAATGTATGTATGATACAACTATGATATATATATATATAGCTTTATAATTTACATTCCAGGTAATTTGGGGCGTATACGTTTCTGATTCCCTTTCAGAAGGGAAGTGGTCTAATACGTTACTTTATCTGCAAGAAAATCAAGTATATTTGGGACACAGAAAAAAAAGAATTTACACGACTGAGGTCAGATGTCTTTCATATTGAATTTAATAGGCAAAGCTCTTTTTAAAGTTTGAAGTTATTCAATATTCAAACAGATTCTGCTTTGCCGCATCAGAATCGTCTTTTGTCTGTAAACATCAATTCTGTTGTAACCTCGGAATGATTACTGCCACAGTATCTCACCCTGACTGAGCTATCTTTGTCTCACACTTATACGCGACCGTGAAGAGCTGGGTTAGAATCGGCGAAAAAACTGACTCACTCATTGGATTGTATGGTCCAGACTCAATTAGTTACATATAGCTGAGTACGGCGTGTAGCGGCAAACAAACAAGACCAAGCTACGGACCAGTGCCCCGTTCCTCATAGCGATCGTAGCGCTAAGATGATCGTAACTCCCATACTTTAACATAGACTTACGACTGTCGTAGCGCTACGATCGCTTTGAGGAACGGGGTCCAGGGCAATATAGCTGGAATATTGTCCAATGTAGCGGTAATTTCCAAACAAACACGCACTGCCTTCATAACCATGACATGCCCATGTTGTTGCAGAGGGTTTGACAAGGACAAGGAGTGTACCTTCTTCCACCAACAAACAGGCCTGGCGTATGATGAACAAAGAACGAGGTATGCTAATTTCACACATGAAAGTGCCATATAGTTTTATATCATCAGAGCTGATCTCAGTGTCATAGATATTAAACTCGATATTATCGGCGTTGATCCAATCGAAGAGTGTCCGTACCGGGGCTGTTTACACATAGCTATATTCTCAAAGCACATATTTGTCTCAGAACACACTCGACCCGAAGATGCTCTCAGTAATTGCCACGTGTACATACTGACGCAGAAAAGAAAGGCAACATTTATTATGGAAATAAGGAAGATGGCTGCCAGTTCTATGTATCCGAACGGCGTTGGTCATTCTGAAGCACTTAAGAAACGCAACATGTGTTTAGAAACTGTGACCAAGCGATTATTATTTGGTGTCCCTAAATGTATCTTGTATCCATTTTCACTCAAAAGTTCATACTGAAGCACTTAAGAAACGCAACATATTTCATGGCTGTATTTGTGTCTGTGTATTTTTATTCACTGAAGCGAGAAACAGTATATAACGAATACTTGGATTTATCACTTAGTTGCCGATCTGCCTGTTCCTTAACTACATGTGAAACGCTTCCAAATTGTTAATGCTCAACTACATAAGAAACACAACATATATTCTTTAAATAGTTTCAATAAATATGACCCAAAGGGCGACAAGGAAGCCTCGTGGTTGTTTTTCTCCGACTACCTGATGCATATTTTAGCCGAACTACATATAACGAACTACGGTTAGACCGAACTAAAACAAATGTTCCCTTTGAGTTCGTCATAACCGTAGTTGCTGTTATTTCATAAAATATGTTAATGTATATTGGACTTGTGCTAAATTTCAATTGTTTCTATCAATCCGTTTGACTATCTTTAAAACAAATTGCCACTCTTTGTAGTATATTCCTGATGGATGGCCCAGTGGTCTAAGGTACTATGAGCTGCGTCTTTTTTTGTGTGTCCAAACTTTGAAAACCCGATTCGAATCCCAGATTTGCTCTGCTTATACCACACAGCATAATGACTTCGAGCTAGTCAGTTCTTGTTTTATCCCCTGATCGTCGGTTGCCAGGCAGGGAAACAACCGACCTTCTGCTCTCCGGTCAGATGCTGTATCCATGGTGAAGGCCATTCCTATGAATACTCTTTACCAAGTGGCCCGTGAAGATCAGGGTTGATTGATCTTCAGCAACCCATGCTTGTTGTAAGAGGCGACTATCGGGATTAGGTGGTCAGGCTCGCTGGCTTGGTTGACACATGTCATCGTATCCCAGTTGCTAATACAGAAAATCACTGGATTGTCTGGTCGATTATGTACAGATAGCAGCATATAGCTGGAATATTGCTAAGTGCTGCGTTAAACTAAGTGCTGCGTTAAACCGATGCCCATGCTGTTGATCACTGGATTGTCTGGTCCAGACTCAATTACAGATATAGCTGGAATATTGGCGTTAAACAACCACCAACCAACCAACCCTGTCAAGTGCGGTATATTGATGTTATGATAATTACTCTCATCTTTATGTTAAAACGAATGTGTAAATTTTTCAGACAAGTTCTGTATGGTGTCAACTCCATTCGAGTCCACGTGATGCCGATTATCAAGATATTGTTCAAAGAGGCAAGTCAACGTCAACGCAAGGACATGGCTCCCCTGTCCGGCATCTTTCATTACCAGCTGGGGCGGTGGGGTAGCCTAGTGGTTAAAGCGTTGGCTCGTCAGTCCGAAGACCCGGGTTCGATTCCATACATTGGTACAATGTGTGAAGCCCATTTATGGTGTCCCCCGCCGTGATATTGCTGGAATATTGCTAAAAGCGGCTTAAAACTAAGCTGACTCGCTCATTACCACCACAAGCACCTGCACACTGTCATCATCTTCATCCTCGTCGTTACTGTCAGTAGGAGTTGCAACATCCTGGTCATTATTTCACGAGAAACAGCGACACTAAGTGCAGCATTAACGTAATCATTTCATCATCTTCACATTCATCTTCATTAACATTTGTCATCAATATTATCAGAAGACGAGTAGGAGCAGCTTCGGTGTTATCAAATCCGATTGTGTAGCCCGACGGGGTAGCCCAGCGGTTAAAGCGTTCTCTTGTCACGCCGACGACCCGGGTTCGATTCCCCATTCCCCACATGGGTGCAATGTGTGAAGCCCATTTCTTGTGTCCCTTGCCGTGATGTTATTGGAATACTGTTAAAAGCTGCGTAAAATCCTACTCACATACTCACTCGACATCCCTATGTCGACACAGGTGCTGTCCCCCTTCTATGTGTTCCAAGTGTTCAGTGTCTCTATCTGGTTTGCTGACGACTACACCATCTACGCCAGCTGCATCGTCTTTATCTCCAGCCTCTCCATCATCATTACCATCTACCAGACGAGGAAGGTAAGCTCTCCTTCATCATTACAATCATCATCATCATCATCATCATCAGGCTGATGAATTGTTAAAAGTGAACAGCGGCTTCTACCCTCACTCGAGCGGTGGGGTAGTGCAGTGTTAAAGCGTTCTCTCGTCACGCTGAACACCCGGGTTCGATTCCCCACATGAGTACAATGTGTGAAGCCCATTTCTGGTGCCCCCACCGTGATATTGCTGGAATGTTGCTAAAAGCGGCGTAAAACTAAAACTCACTCACCCTCACTATCCTCACTCACTCAATGTTGTTGCAGATGCAGAGAGCTCTCCGCAGCACCATCAGCTCCTCAACCATCGTCACCGTGTGTCGTGGCGGGGACGGTAAGTACCATCAGCGTCAACCATTGGTCAGCTTAGCTTGTTATCAGTTCAAACAACTCTCATATCGGTTCCTTTTATTCGATATCAATATGTCAATGCCAAAGGATCAGATTAGAATTTTACACTTATATCAACAGGTTGTGGTGAAAAATGTAATGTAACAAAAGACGCCTCAAATACTACTAACTTCATGTCCATATGTATATAATAACGATTTCTTACACATTTTATAATGTAATACATACATTATCACGCAGTCATGACTATATTTTAGCGTTGGTATTGCTCTGGCTAACTGGTTTAGTTCGAAACATTATATTCACATGAAAGGATTGGGCACAAGTTATCTCCCCTACATTTACAAGGATGCGTATTGTCATATTGAACCCCGACCTTCTTCGTCACAAGCAAACATTGTTATTGCTACACACCTTCCTTTGTTCTGTGTGTGTACAATCTTTCAATGTGGTGCGGAGTAAAACTAAACTCACTTACTCACTCACTTTCAATGTGTTTTTTACATTTTAGCGTTCTGTCGAATTATTTATAAAAGATATAACGATAAAGCACTCTGTCCGTGAGTTCATTTTGCTCATTTAATGCCCTGAGATCGTCAGTTAGTTCGTTTCCTAACGCCGCACTCAGCAACATTTCAGGATGAAACCACCCACTCCTTAGGATAGAAACTCCCCTCAGGGTGCAAGCTTATTCTATTGTAATGTACGCTTTAATTCATTTTGATATCTCCTCCTCTCCTGGGTACCGAACCGGTTTGATTGTTGTTTAACGCCGCTCTCAGCAATATTCCAGTTATATTGTGGCGGTCTGTAAATAATCGAGTCGGGACCAGGCAATCCGGTGATTGACATCATGAGCATCAGTGTGCGCAACTGAGATACAATGGCAATCATCGACCGTGTCAGCGAGTGCGACCACCCGATCCCGTTAGTACCCTCTAACAAGAATGGGTTGCTGAAGACCAGTTCTTGCCCGGATCCAGTCTGTATATGTGTACATTTATCTAATCATCTTTAAGGTAGCGTAAATCTAGAATAATGTGTTAAATATTATTTATCAAACTGTCATATTCGTGTTTCAGTGTACGAAGACATATCGTCGGAAGACCTTGTGCCGGGTGATGTCATAGAGGTGCCTCGACACGGCTGCATGATGCAGTGCGACGCCGTCCTCATCAACGGCAACTGCATCGTCAACGAGAGTATGCTGACAGGTAGTGTACAGAAACTACTGTGCATTTATATCGGGTACAGTACTGTTACAGGCTACAGTGTTACAAGGTGCCAGGGTAGGAGAAGCGAGGTTACAGGGTAGGAAACACAGTGTAACAAGCTACAGGGTAGGTCTAGTGTAGCAATGAGTGAGTGAGTTGGGTTCTACGCCACTTTTAGCAATATTCCAGCAATATCAAAGCGGGGAACACCAGAAATGGGCTTCAAACATTGTACCCATGTGGGGAATCGAACCCGAGCATTCGGCGTGACGACTGACTGACTGACTGAGTTTAGTTTTACGCCGCCTTTAGCAACATCACGGCGGGGGACACCTGAAATGGGCTTCACACATTGTACCCATGATGGGATTCGAATCCGGGTCTTCGGCGTGACAAGCGGACGCTTTAACCACTAGGCTACCCCACCGCCCCTCTAGTGTAAGAGGGTTACATTTTACATAGCAGGAGAAACAGATGTTCATGTTCCAATGTAAGGACGCATTGTTACAGGCTACAAAGTGGTGGGTAGGGGTCACGCATTTAGGGGAGACATTAGGAAAACAGGTACAATGTTACACATTGCAACCGGTTATTGAGTCAGGTTACAGGGTTAGGGGGAAATCACGGGGTTTTAATTTTTGGGTTTCTGTAGACATTTTAGGACGCCGCTCCCTCAAAACAGCCCGGATGGGTTTGCTCTTTACGGTATATTTATAATGGGGTTTGAACAAGAAATAATCAACAAGTGGTAAAGACATGCATCTTATTTTGTACGACTACTAGTACGAATATTTCGAACGTATGTGTTAGGTCTGAAAGAAGCGCTTATTTGTCAATAAGGCGTGTTTGTTTGAAAATGAGTTTCATGATCACAAAGGAAACGATGTTGTCCTCCTAAATAAGCTTTTGATATACAATCCTATTGGTTCATCGGTATCCTTGGTTTCATCGCATCACTGGGTGTCATCTACACAGTAGTATTGATGGTGAGTGTAGGAGTTTCCTTTCGAAACGAAGAAGTTCATTCCGCATAAAATGCAACATCTCTTTTGTTAAAAACATATAAAATTAACCATGAAGACCCATGCTTGTCGTAAGAAGCGACTAATGGGATCGAGTTGTCAGGCTTGCTGACTTGGTTGACACATGTCATTGTATCCCAATAGATCGATGCTCCTGCTGTTGATCACTGGGTTATCTGGTCCAGACTTGATTATTTACAGACCGCCACTATATAGCTGGAATATGCTGAGGGCGGCGTGAAAAAAAGGCTATCGATGTTTATTCATATATATAGTATACTAACATACTTTAAATGTTAACTGTGCCAAATCTTGTCTTTGTCTATGTGAGTGATCGAGTTTAATTTTACGCCGCACTCAGCAATATTCCAGCTATATGGCGGCGGTCTGTAAATACTCGAGTCTGGACCAGACAATCCAGTGATCAACAGCATGAACATCGACCTGCGCAATTGGGATACGATGACATGTGTCAACCAAGTCAGCGAGCCTGACCACCCAATCCCGATAGTCGCCTCTTACAACAAGCATGGGTTGCTGAAGATCAATTCTAACCCGGATCTTCACGGGCCACTTGGTAAAGAGTATTCGTAGGAATGGCCTTCACCATGGATACAACATCTGCCCGGGGAGCGGAAAGTCGGTTGTTTCCCTGCTGATCATTTTATATATGTTACCAATGGACATAGAATAGCGGCATCTAAGACAATTTGTCCACCCAATCCACAAAACGGTCCTGTAAAGATGTGTTTGTTGTCGTAGGTAAGGAACAACGACACCGCGGGAGATATCGTCATCCACACGCTGGTTCTACTTACAATAGCAGTCCCCCCAGCCCTCCCGGCTGCCCTCGGTGTTGGCATCGTATTTGCCCAGCAGCGGCTGAAGAAGGCAGGCATCTTCTGCATCAGCCCTCGCGGCATCAACATCTGCGGCACCATCAACGTTGTCTGCTTCGACAAGGTCAGTATTCTTTGAGTGAGTGTGTGAGTAGGATTTTTTGGACGCTTTTAGCAATATCCCTGCAATATTCCAGCACAAGACACAAGAAATTCAAATTTCTTTCATTGTTCGCTTGTGGGGAATCGAACCCAGGTCTTAGGTGTGATGAGCGAACGCTTTAACTACAAGGCTACCCCACCGCCTATCGTTCATTGACCAGTGGACATTTTATTTTTCCTTCGTTTTAACATATTTTTTTCAAACTTGATTAATTTGATGAAATTAGACATGTCAACTTTATTTATTAGAAACCGCCACCGTGGTGTAGTGGTTAGAGCGTCCGCCCGGAGAGCAGAAGGTCGCGGGCTCGACCCCCGACCGCGTCATACCAAAAGACGTTAAAATATGGTACTTGTTGGTCCCTGCCTGGCGCTCGGCATTAATGGGTACAACAAGGACTGGTCGGCTCGGAGTCAGTATAATGTGTCTGAGTAAGGTATTCATGCTTCACTGCGGCATGGTATCTCAGTGGGCTAGCACTATAAATAAAACCAGCTTAAGTCTGGGCTAGTACAAGCAGCCGCACATACACATACACACGCATGCACGTCGTCATATGAGCGAAATATTCTCAAGCACGACGTTAAACCCAATTTCACCTCACCTCACCTATTTATTAAAATTGGAATGAATAGGAATTAACAGACGATATCATTATATTACACTATCATCTACGTAGATGTAAGAAAGATCGTCTTAGCAGATGAAATTATCATCTTCTCAGATCTTTGAGACCGTGCCGCTATTCTGTTTTTGAGTGGGGGTCTCTGCACGCACGCACGCACGCACGCACACTAAAGGACACGTCGTTCAGTCCCCATAATCCCTGTGGGAGAGTGTGATTGTAAGCTAAGTTTAGCAATGGAATTGGTTGCTCTCATGAAGGGTATCGAACCCGGTATCTCGGCGTATGGAGAGAACCCTTTACCCACTAGGCTACACTGCGACACATGCCAATATTGACGCAATGTTTGTTTCCAGACAGGAACCTTGACGGAGGATGGCATGAAGATGATGGCCGTGGTGCCTTCCTCCAGAGGAGCGTAAGCAGTTGCTTGGCAACCATAAACTAACAAACTAAACACATGGGAGCTCTGCCGTAGTCTCCAGCATCCAATGCAGGTCACAAGAGCCCACTAAAATGTGGATTGGGTGGCTACATTGTCTGACTGGTCCTGTCCCAACACAGCGCGTTGAGTGGATTCGGATGGTTGTATATGTTTGACCTTTCAGGGTGGTCCTTGTACGAAATCAATGTGGACTGTTCCCAATGATATTGACAAAATTTTCTTGGCCAAGACTCAGTTATTTATAGATCATGGATATAGGGTTAGCGGTGTGTAATATGGTATTATACGACTTTCTCCATTCCTTAGAAAAATACACTACTTTTCAAAGTACACTTCCCCTTAACGCGACCGATGCCGAGAGAGGAGTGCCCATGACGACAGAACACTGTTAGTTCATGCGTATTAATTTATTGAGAACTAGGTTTGGGGTCATTTGCCAGACCATGTACAGTTAGCTGACATACCTATCGTTCCACATCTTTGCATGACTAGCGAGAACGAGAGCTGGCGGGAGGATAACACATCTGACATTGATCGTAGTTCGTAAACATTTTCCTCAGCATAATCCATCAACCTGTATCAAGTGATGAAATTGACATCCCCGTTAAATTAAAATTATGACTTGTCCCTAAAGGGTCATGTCTCACGCAGAGTACACTACGATTATAACGAATTCAATGTTCGTTATGTGCATTTCGACATTTGTTCAACAAAGAAACTCACAGCAAGAGGTGCTCTATTTCCACAGGTTCAGAGACGAAATTCGCAACATGAGCAAGTTACACAATCCCCTTATCGTCAGTGCCATGGCAACCTGCCACTCTCTCACTATTATAGATGGTCACGTGGCTGGAGACCCCCTGGATCTCATCATGTTCGAGGCTGTTGATTGGGTGAGTTCCTCCCCAGTGTCGACTGGTTTCTTCAATTTTGTTTTTGGAGATTTTACGAACGCTTCAAAATATTGCTGACCCAAGGTTGTGTGGAATGATAAGTGTCGTATTATAGCAACAATGCTGATGCTGCGTTCAGCAATATCCACTCACTAACTCACTCCTCCCCTTTGGCTGTAGTGGCAATCCGGTGAGGTCATTGTATCACCGGTTTCCAAGACATGCCCTAAATCCACGCCGACACCCATTTGGTGAGTGAGAGTGATTGAGCCTTAACGCCGTTTTAAATATCATCAGTGAACCACCCTCCACGCACGCACATCCATCCATCCATACATCCACCCACCCATCCATCTATCCATCCGCCCGCCTTCTACGAACTCTCCCATTCACTCATCGACCAGCCCACCAATTCTTCTACCAACTCACCCATTTACTCACTTACTCATCGACAAGCCCACCAATTCTTCTACCAACTCACCCATTTACTCACTTACTCATCGACCAGCCCACCAATTCTTCTACCAACTCACCCATTTACTCACTTACTCATCGACCAGCCCACCAATTCTTCTACCAACTCACCCATTTACTCACTTACTCATCGACCAGCCCACCAATTCTTCTACCAACTCACCCATTTACTCACTTACTCATCGACCAGCCCCCCAATTCTTCTACCAACTCACCCATTTACTCACTTACTCATCGACCAGCCCACCAATTCTTCTACCAACTCACCCATTTACTCACTTTACTCATCGACCAGCCCACCACTTCTTCTACCAACTCACCCATTTACTCACTTACTCATCGACCAGCCCCAATTCCAATTCCACCTTCTACCAACTCACCTTCTACAAACCCACCCATTACTCATCGACTTACTTCTACTCATCGACCAGCCCAGCCCACCATTCTTCTACCAACTCACCCATTTACTCACTTACTCACCGACTACAACCCACCATTTACTTCTACCATCTCAGCCCACCAATTTTCTACTCAACTTACCCATTTACTCACCTCACTCATCGACCAGCCCCCAATTCTTCTACCAACTCACCCATTTACTCACTTACTCATCGACCAGCCCACCAATTCTTTTCTACCAACTCACCCATTTACTCACTTACTCATCGACCAGCCCACCAATTCTTCTACCAACTCACCCATTTACTCACTTACTCATCGACCAGCCCACCACCTTTCTACCAACTCACCTCATTTACCAGCCCACCAATTTACTTACTCATCGACCAGCCCACCACCTCTTCTACCAACTCACCCATTTACTCACTTACTCATCGACCAGCCCACCAATTCTTCTACCAACTCACCCATTTACTCACTTACTCATCGACCAGCCCACCAATTCTTCTACCAACTCACCCATTTACTCACTTACTCATCGACCAGCCCACCAATTCTTCTACCAACTCACCCATTTACTCACTTACTCATCGACCAGCCCACCAATTCTTCTACCAACTCACCCATTTACTCATCTACTTCACTTATTCATCGACCAGCCCACCACTTCTTCTACCAACTCACCCTTTTCACTCACTTCACTTACTCATCGACCAGCCCACCAATTCTTCTACCAACTCACCCATTTACTCACTTACTCATCGACCAGCCCACCAATTCTTCTACAACTCACCCATTTACTCACTTACTCATCGACCAGCCCACCAATTCTTCTACCAACTCACCCATTTACTCACTTACTCATCGACCAGCCCCCAATTCTTCTACCAACTCACCCATTTACTCACTTACTCATCGACCAGCCCACCAATTCTTCTACCAACTCACCCATTTACTCACTTACTCATCGACCAGCCCCCAATTCTTCTTCTACCAACTCACCCATTTACTCACTTACTCATCGACCAGCCCCCAATTCTTCTACCAACTCACCTATTTACTCACTTACTCATCGACCAGCCCCCCAATTCTTCTACCAACTCACCCATTTACTCACTTACTCATCGACCAGCCCACCAATTCTTCTACCAACTCACCCATTTACTCACTTACTCATCGACCAGCCCCCCAATTTTCTACCAACTCACCCATTTACTCACTTACTCATCGACATCCCCCCAGCCCTTCTTCTACCAACTCACCCATTTACTCACTTACTCATCGACCAGCCCCACCAATTCTTCTACCAAACTCACCCATTTACTCACTTTACTCATCGACCAGCCCCCACCCATCTTCTACCAACTCACCCATTTACTCACTTTCTACTTACCGACCAGCCCCCACCAATTCTTCTACCAACTCACCCATTTACCCATTCACTCATCGACCAGCCCACCACCTAATTCTTCTACCAACTCACCCATTTACTCACTTACTCGATCGACCAGCCCCCACCCATTCTTCTACGACCAGCCCACCAACTCAACCACATTTACTCACTTACTCATCATTCGACCAGCCCACCAATTCTTCTACCACCAACTCACCCATTTACTCCACTCATCGACCAGCCCCCCGATTCTTCTACCAACTCACCCATTTACTCACTTACTCATCGACCAGCCCCCCAATTCTTCTACCAACTCACCCATTTACTCACTTACTCATCGACCAAGCCCACCAATTCTTCTACGAACTCACCCACTCACTCATTCATTGACCAACTCACCAATTCTACGAACTCACCCATTTACTCACTTATTCATGGACCAGATCATTCTTCCACCTTCACAAACAAATCCACACATACAATCACTTATCCGCCAATGCACCCATTGTTCTGAGATTTGTCTGAGCACCCATTCTTCCACCAGCTCACCCATCCGAGCACTCACCAACACACCCCATGTTTCAGGTGTTGGAGGAGCCGGGTGAGGAGGAGACAAGGTTTAACATGATGGTGCCCACCATTGTACATCCCCGAACCAGAAACAACTCCGTACCAGGAGACGACAGTCAGGTGAGAACAACAAATCTTAACATGTTTCAGCCAGTGAAAGGATGACAGTTCATCTCCTCCATTCTACGACAATGTTGTTCATATATCAGCTTCAGTGGAGAGTCCTTGGATGGGTGACCGTGTTTGCAGCTTGACTTCTGAGAGTTTTTAGGACTTCAGTCCTTCCCCACAACGAAGCACATGTGATTCATGTGGTCTCACCTTAGGCAAGTGAGTTTGTTTTTGCCTCTGTTCACCCAGCAGAAAATGGGTACCCGGTGGGATAAGTCATGTGACTGTAACATTTAGCGCTTTGAGCATGCACAAGTGTGTGGGAACAGGCGCTTTATAAATGGCCATTATTATTTAGTATTACTATCTGTTATATACTGGTTCGGATAATCAGAATACTCCACCCGACCAGACAACAGTCAGGAACGACAAAGCTATGGCATTAAGCTGTAGTCTCTTACGTGTACATTAATGATGTTCCCATATTTCTTCCCATCACCACATGTTTAACTATTCCAGTCAATGGGAGAAGACATCGGCGTGGTGAGACAGTTTACCTTCTCCTCCAGTCTGCAGAGAATGTCGGTCATCACACGGAATCTCGGTGCCAACAACTTTGACCTGTTCGTGAAGGGATCGCCTGAAATGATCACAAGCCTCTCCATGGCTGAAACAGGTACAGACAGAAACGTTAACATTCTGAAAAAGACACCTGCAAGAGTCTAACATTTACTAAGCAAAATGAAATTACAAATGTTGAAAAGAAATCCGATTAAAATACAAATGCTCAAAATGTGTGAATATTTTTTCGGCAAGATTGATTTACTGACATTCAACAAACGTTAACGATGGAACATATTTCATTTAGTTAACGTTTAATTTATGGGATCAGTTTTGATTCAGTTCATGTCGATCATCGTGAAATACATAGTTTCTATCACAAACTGAAGTTGTCTTTGCACAAATCAGTTTCGAGAAGAGACTTTGTTAAGATCGGTTTCGTTGGAAATACTTGATAACTTCATCTCTCGGACAGCTTCGTAAATAGGCCAACTGTATTCTGCTTCAGTCCCTGCCAACTTCCACGATGTACTGATGGCCTACACACAGCATGGCTACCGGGTCCTCGCTCTGGCCTGGAAGGCCTTGCCACAGAAACTGAACTATGCCAAACTCCAGAGAATAACGCGGTAACAGCTTCAAATATATCCAGATGGCTAAGTATATCACTACTCTGCTGATACGGCGGGGTAGCCTAGTGGTTAAGGCGTTCGCTCGTCACGCCGAAAACCCAGGTTCTATTCCCCACATGGGTTTTCTTTTAATATTTCACGTAAAAATTGAAATTATTTATCTGTTTCTTTTCAGCTTTAGCCCAAATTAATTGAAACAGTCCTGCTAAAAAATTCAGGGTCTTTCTATTTCAGACACAAAGTATCTGAACGAGTGATAGATGGATAAGACGCTAATACCCAGTGCTTGTCGTATAAAATCCGAAAATGAATGATTATCAGACAGTTATTGTCTGCTACCTGTCCTGCCTTAACTCGAATATTATAACTCACCTTGGTTTTAAACAAATCACCCACTCGGGGTATTTTCTCAATATTCGTTGACAGAGCTGCCAAGTTATTGTCCGTAGTGATGCACCAGGATACCCCATCTAATATCAAGTCAAGATTAATTCATTTCAAGCCAAACAAAAACGTTGATGCTGAAAAAGGAACTCGAGGGAAAATAGTTGTACGAGTTATGGCACATTTTCATTTCTGTAAATCTGGAATCTCTTTCTGAGGTGGAAAACTGCAAAAAATCACCAGCTTCTGGGTCGTATCGCCTTAGACGATCCTACTAAAATTGCATAAGAATTTCTACTAAACTAGTTATGTCACGGGAATTAAAACTTCTAAAGTATGTTTTTAGCGGCCATATTCTCCCTGCTCATCATGATTCTCTTTCTCCTAATAATGGATTTCGTATGTAAAGAAAGGCATTGCAATAAACTGGGGAGGTGAATGTTGTGCGGTTTACGGTCAAAGGGAGGTAACCGTGTTTGTACAAGAGTTAACTCCCTTGTCTCAACTCTACACAGTGTCTTCTTTTAGAACTTCACACACTACATGTGCTCTCATGCAAAGGGAGATAACTGCGTACATCAAAGATCAAGAGTAATGTCCCCTGGTTCAAAGGGAGGTAAGTCTGTGAAAAAGGGTTAATTTTTAAGGTTTAGAGTTACCTCCCTTTGACCATGACCGTCACGATTCCACAAATCTGTTAGTCGTACCGTTGAAGTATTTAGGTAACAGAATTGACCATGTACGTGGGACCAAATGAAAGTGAAATAGTCAGTGCACGGCCCGTGAAACCACACAACCGCCCACTTCGCAAATAATTAGCTCTCTACAAAACACTGAGATGTGTGCGTGAAAGCATTGATTGAGTTGCCTCCCTTTGACCGTTGATGCGCATTTAGATTGATCTAATATTGTGCTCTCGCAGCACTGGATCTACCTCCGCCAAGAAAAATACACAGACATCGTGACTCTTTTTATTGTATGCACAATGGCGTAAATTCAGTTGCAAACGTAGACCAGTTTGGAAAAAAAGAACTGGTATTTTTTATATATTTTTAAAAATCAACGCATTTCCACTAACTTTATGGTTCACCGATTAAGGTACTGTGCGACAATTTTTATATTTACTTGAAAACTTTAAGGAACTGTAAGCGAACAAAATAGTGCCTAATATCTAAACGACATAAACATGTATTTACGTGTAAACTGTTGGTATCTATTTGGTTATTTTCATTGCACTCAAGAGAAATTGCCGGTGTGCGTGAGTTTCCGTCAAATATGACTTTCAGTTGAAAGTACCAAATCATTGTAATGTATCTATTTTCAGTAACGTTCGCCTTGCTACGATACTCCTCCCATGTAAATTCTAAAATATGATATTGAACTGATGTGTGTGTTATGGTCAAACTACTAATTTTGATCCTTGAAACTGCTATTTGCAACACTTTGGCGTTGGTATCTCTGTTAATGTGGTACGTGAATCTTCTTCGCGATCTCTCCGATACCATCGCGATATCAACTCACTTGGCGTATTCAACGTCCGTTCTGAAACCGGGTTTGCATTACTGTGGATAATGGCGGCCTCACACCGATATGTGCCGTTATTCAAAACTAACTGCAAAGGGCTTTTTACTAAATTGTGAAGTGAAAAGAATGTGAAAACGATCAAAACGACAACGAATGAAGTTCCTCAAACAAATCTTGCACTTTCTCCATAAGTAAGCCATCTTTTCTGTTGACAAGGAAGACATTTACCGTTCACTTACTCCCTTCACCATGGTTCTCAAACACTCTGTGAGTGTGTGTGTGTGTGTGTGTGTGTGTGTGTGTGTGTGTGCGTGCGTGCGTGTGCGCGCGCGCCTAATGGTTAAAGTGTTCTTACGTCACGCCAAAGACCCGGGTTCGATTCCCCACATGGGTACAATGTGTGAAGTCCATTAATGGTGTCCCCCGCCGTTATATTGCTGGAATATTGCTAAAAGCGGCGTAAAACTATACTCACTCATTGGATGGAATAAATGTGAGGGTTTTGGGTATGTAATCAAATATTGGAACAGCTTACCATACAAGCTCTTCCACAATTTGTGATTTGTCATGTGAGGTCAATACCCGATCCCGAAACCTGAACATATTCCTGTGATAATCAAGGGCATTCAAAAACAATGGTAATGCCAGCATTAAATCACTGCATGTTAAACCGCAAAGAATGTTCCTCTTGTAGGGAGCAGGTGGAGAAGGATCTCAACTTCCTGGGGCTGCTGGTGATGGAGAACTGCCTGAAGCCGGAGACCACCCCTGTCATCCAGACACTCCGGGAGGCCGCCATCAGAAACATCATGGTCACAGGTACGTGTTGGTAGACAACCCCTGTCATCCAGACACTCCGGGAGGCCGCCATCAGAAACATCATGGTCACAGGTACGTGTTGGTAGACAACCCCTGTCATCCAGACACTCCGGGAGGCCGCCATCAGAAACATCATGGTCACAGGTACGTGTTGGTAGACAACCCCTGTCATCCAGACACTCCGGGAGGCCGCCATCAGAAACATCATGGTCACAGGTACGTGTTGGTAGACAACCCCTGTCATCCAGACACTCCGGGAGGCCGCCATCAGAAACATCATGGTCACAGGTACGTGTTGGTAGACAACCCCTGTCATCCAGACACTCCGGGAGGCCGCCATCAGAAACATCATGGTCACAGGTACGTGTTGGTAGACAACCCCTGTCATCCAGACACTCCGGGGCCGCCGCCATCAGAAACATCATGGTCACAGGTACGTGTTGGTAGACAACCCCTGTCATCCAGACACTCCGGGAGGCCGCCATCAGAAACATCATGGTCACAGGTACGTGTTGGTAGACAACCCCAGTCATCCAGACACTCCGGGAGGCCGCCATCAGAAACATCATGGTCACAGGTACGGTTGGTAGACAACCCCAGTCATCCAGACCTCGGGAGGCCGCCATCAGAAACATCATGGTCACAGGTACGTGTTGGTAGACAACCCCTGTCATCCAGACACTCCGGGAGGCCGCCATCAGAAACATCATGGTCACAGGTACGTGTTGGTAGACAACCCCTGTCATCCAGACACTCCGGGAGGCCGCCATCAGAAACATCATGGTCACAGGTACGTGTTGGTAGACAACCCCTGTCATCCAGACACTCCGGGAGGCCACCATCAGAAACATCTTGGTCACAGGTACGTGTTGGTAGACAACCCCAGTGATCCAGACACTCCGGGAGGCCGCCATCAGAAACATCATGGTCACAGGTACGTGTTGGTAGATAACCCCTGTCATCCAGACACTCCGGGAGGCCGCCATCAGAAACATCATGGTCACAGGTAGTGCTGGTAGACAACCCCAGTCATCCACACACTATGGGAGGCCGTCATCAGAAACATCATGGTCACAGGTAGGAGTGGCCAGACCACCATCAGAAAGATCATGGTCAGGGGGTAGGTGTGGCTAGACCACTATCAGAAACATCATGGTCACAGGTAGGTGTGGCTAGACCACCATCAGAAACACCATGGTCACAGGTAGGTGCAACTACATCACATGGTCACTATTGGCGCTCCAAAATTATTTCAGTTTTACAGATGTCATTATCTTTTACAGTTCTATCAATCTATTTCTCCTGACAGGTGCAAAGGCGGTTTCCACTTAGATGTATAACATTTATGCTTTTTGTAATTAACAAAATGCAAAATATTTTTGAAAATATCAGAATTGTGTTGAACCGACCACACACATCATTTTTCAAGGAATGTATATTGACATTCTCTGCAGGTGACAACATGTTGACTGCCCTGAGCGTGGCCCGGGAGTGTTGTATGGTAGATCCCACAGACCGTATCATCCTTGTTCAAGCCTACCCGCCACAGGCCGACAAGACAGGACCAGAGATAGAGTTTATTTTCGCTGATGAGAAGGAAAAGAAATTTGGCAAGGTCATTATATTTCTGGTCACAATATCATCGTAATTGTTTAAATACATGTATATTTTTGCATGTACCTGTACTTACATCTTTAAGATCAGACAGGCTGTGGAGTAGACTCCTAAAGCGTTCGCTTGTCAGTCTGAAGACTGGGGCTAGATTCCCCACATGGGTACAATGTGTGAAGTCCATTTTCGGTGTACCCTGTCCTAATGTCGGTTGAACAATACCAAAAGCAGAGTAAGGTCAGCAAAATGTTCAGTCCCAATTTCGCACACATCCTGTAACCCGTTTTCACTTGCATTGGGGTTTAAAAGGATAAAACAAGGATTGGGTGGCCCAAAGTCAGCATGATTATGATGAAGATTGATGTAGCCATGTTAAACTGCAACAGGGAACGTACACACGCACGCACGCACGCACGCACGCACGCACGCACGAACATTCAAAAGCTCACGAATATAACTCAATGTTTTGTGCAACAATCTTTTTGAACGACATTAGACCCAATTTCTCCTCGTTTGACTTGAATGGGATTGAATGTAAAAGAAAAGAATAGTATCGAAAAGCTAGCAATTTTTGTACTTTGAACAAGTAAATCCCATGTGCCTTCTAACACACTATAGTGTCTTAACCTGTTTTAGTGAGTGATTATTTTTGTTTTCACGCCACTGATTCACATTATATATCTCCCCTACGCTGTGATATGACTGCATGTTGTTGAAGCAATTTTCACTCACTATCTGCTATCTTACAGGATTCCATCGCCCTTCAGATGGACAACGACAGTTTCCGCTTCGCTCTGACGGGGAAGTCCTGGGCCGTCATAAGACAGCATTTCCCCGACCTGATGTCCAAGGTAGGACAATTTGTTTAGTTGGGTTTTCTACTGTGCTCTCTTCATTGCCCAATCATAGCGGAGTGTTGACCAGTGGAAACATCAGCCCATTGTTCCAAGAAGCCATGGAGTCACCAAACCTGGGTTCCCATTCACAAGGCATTTGTAGCGATACTGCATACAATACATCTTTGAGACACAACAGGACGGTTCTCAAGAGACATACGAATATATGTACATCGGTGTTAGGGTACAATTGTGTGACAGGTCCTATCACATTTTACGACATCACAAAGATTGATTTTCGGCTTTGCAAACAAGGCTCAAGTTTGGTTTTTATCAACCAATGTGATGATCCCTGTTAGGGCTGGGACGGTTGGGTAATAGGTCGGGCCGGGTACCCGTCTCAATACCCCGACCCGTTATGATCATGTGACCAATAGATTAAACAATGTAATGTTATTCTTTCATGAATAAAAGGTTGTATTGTCTTAGAAGATTTAGACATAATTTACAGTCACCTGTTTTGTATAGAATGCAATGTTTAGATATTGGAAAACTTGAAATTTTAGCCTCCGAGTTGAAAATATATTGCCATTTCTTACAAAGAACTTACATAACGGGTATCAGGGTAGGGAAAGGGGATGGGGTACACGGGTGGAAAACTTGGACCCGTCCCAGCCCTATTCCCTGTTCTGCAAAGTACTCCTGAAAAAAGTAAAGAATTTAAATTAGTTTCACTTATGCATGAGATTTGTCCGCAGTGACATTTCAAGTTGTCAGTTTGAATCCAAAATTGACACCCATAACCCTTGTTTGCCACATTTGAGATAATTGAATGCATATAAAATAGACTCGGGAATTCAATGGACTTTCTCATCGTGTAGTTTGAATACGTAAAAATGACTCGTATAAGTCGTTGTTTAAACTTGTGAACAGTTTGCAATCGCATTGTCTGAGTCTGAGAAATAACTCCAATCTGTTTATTCCAGAAGTAGGACCGTTCTACTGTACCGATTTAGTTGATATGTATGACTGAAATATTGATGCATTGTAGCTGTCAGGAACTTACAAAAAACTTTTGAAGATACTATACCTGGCAACCTATTAAAGATATGGACTATTTAGATCGTCGTCAAGGGGACAGTCTTTGCACGCATGGGCCCAGAGCAAAAGGCGCAGTTGGTGGAGAGCTTGCAGGCATTAGAGTGAGTCGCTTGTTTTGTTATCTCTTTCCTGTTTAAATCCCCACCCAGCAGCGTTCAAGCAACATGTCAGTGGCATGTAAACTGTCTTGGTTTCACCCCGTGAAGCGGTGATCGATATCAGGAGCAGCAACAACAACATCAACTAAGTCAGTTGGCCTGACTAACCAATCCATCAATGTACAAGGTCGACACAATGGCTTCTGGCTGTGTGGGCCCTTGTGTCGAGACACATTTTGCATATGCCAAGTATATTATTCCTATGGACTGTTGATCTTTACCATACAATGAAAAATATGTCTTTCCATGACTTGGTTGACGCTTGGTTGGAATATTGCTGAGTGCGGTGTTAACAACAACAACAAACACCTACATAGGTACAACGTGTGAAGCCCATTTCTTGTGTCCACCGGGGGGTGATATTGCTGGAATTTTGCTAAAAGCGGCGTAAAACCAGTCACTCCTTCACTTTCCATGTTAATAACATTTAAAGAAAACGTAACCATAACTTTTGCCTTTGAGTATATTTAATTTATTTATATTTGTTTTAACGGATGGAACTTATTAAGTTTGAAATTGATTTCTAATTCTTTACGACCTGTCAGTTTGAATTCTGAAACCGTACCATTTTGGAGAAATAATGTATTAGAATGATGGCATAAATTTGGTTTTGGACAAATAATATAGATTTATATCTTAATATTGCAAAGTGTATATCCACATATGATAATTATTGTTATTTTACCAGTTACTATGTCGGAATGTGCGGTGATGGGGCTAACGACTGCGGAGCACTGAAAACAGCCCATGCCGGCATCTCTCTGTCGGAGGCTGAGGCTTCAGTAGCCTCGCCTTTCACGTCCAAGAAGCCCACCATCGAGTGTGTGCCTAATGTCATCAGGTAGGTAGCCTACATAGGGCCTGGTCTAACGCATGTAAAGACGGTGGGGTAGCCTAGTGGTTAAAGCGTTCGCTCGTCACGCTTAAGACCCGGGTTCGATCCCCCACATGGGTACAATGTGTGAAGCCCATTTCTGGTGTCCCAGAATATTGCTAAAAAGCGGCGTAAAACCATACTCACTCACTCTAACGCATGGATGATGCATTAATGATATGAAAACATCAATGATATGAATACATCAATGATATGAATACATCAATGATGCGAGTATCTGTAGTGCAGGATCTCTACTGCATCAAATACACAGTGCACGTCTCCATGTTGTTTTCAAAGTTTTGTTTGGCGCTCGTCACCGTTCTGCCACGCATTAATAATTCCAGTGCATGAATTTTCCGGTTGGTTGTTGTATCAGATCAGTGTTGCGACGTCCATTCCGAAATAGTAACCACAACATCATACTTCACGCATTTATGTTTGTTAGGTGTAAATACTTTGATCACGTATCACTGGTCCCTGTGTGTTCTCTAGTCCCTGAACAACATTATTTTTCCCTTCAGCAATACTAAATCCTCAAATGAAGCAAGTCAGGTTCACCCATCTCACTGGGGCTCCATTTCAGTTTAAAAGGAATTGTTTGTTTCTACTTGATTTATATTCAGAGACAAAGAGTTATACTGCATGTACTATGTACAGCATAGCCGTACTGCATCAATTGTTACAGGACTTTTCTGCATCACCTTTTGCTGCATGGTTTCAGGCAGGGTCGAGCGGCGCTCGTGACATCCTTCGGAATCTTCAAGTTCATGGCGTGTTACAGTCTGACGCAGTTCATCTCAGTCCTGCTCATGTACTGGGTCAGCAAGATTGTATTGTCAGCATTGTATTTACTGGTTCATGTACATCAGTGCTGTTTTCAAACGTTGTTTTCCGCTTTCCGAATCCGTTTGAGCTCAAAGCGCCACGCTGCTAGTTTATATATACATCGAAATGAAATCCGACATGTATCTTACCATCAATGGTTTAGTTTGGTTGGTTTGTGTTTACAGACTTGATTATTTACAGATCGCCGCCATATAGCTGGAATATTGCTGAGTGCGGCGTTAACCAACAGACAAACAAACTGCAGATATGCCAGGTGGATCGTAGTTGCATGGCGCGCTGTTTCATTCAAGATATCATTGTGGCTTGTTGACGGACACGGACGAGGACGGTTTGGTAGCCGAGTGGTTAAAGTGTTCGCTCGTCACTCTAAAGTCCCGGGTTCGATTCTCTACATGTGTACAATGTGGAGACCCCCGCAATGATATTGCTGGAATATTACTAAAAGCGGCGTAAAACCTAAACCTCTCACTCGGTCGGCCGGTTCGCCAAAACGTTAACGCTTTTAGTAGCCAAGTGGTTAAGGTGTAGACTTGTCATTCAGAAGACCAGGGTTTGATTCCATTGCCAGAATTATTGAGAATACTATACAAATTTTAGTTTTCTGGTGAGATTCATTGATCAGTGTGAACAAATACTTCAGCATGAACACAATCAGATGTAGGAATGCAGTACACTTGATAGACGCTTTAAATGTCAGTATATGTGTAGTATGTGTAGTTGTAATCATTTTTGTGTCCTCCAGATCGGAGCAAATCTCACTGATGCCGGGTTCCTGGTCATCGACTTGTTCATCGTCACAACTCTGAGTATCACATGTAGGTAACCGTGGTAACACTGTCTCCATCACAGCCCTCAGAACCATTTTTTGAGTAACTATTAAGGTAACACGGTCTCCTTTGCAACCATCAGGATCACATGTAGGTAACCATGGTAACACCGTCTCCGTCACAACCCTCAGAACCATGTTTGAGTAACTATTATGGTAACACTCACAGCCCTCAGGATCACGGGTAGGTAACCATGGTAACACTGTCTCCGTCACAGCCCTCAGTACCACTGTTTGTGTAACTGTTATGGTAACATGATCTTCTTTGCAACCATCAGGATCACGAGTAGGTAACCATGGTAACATCGTCTCCTTCTCAACCCCTAGAATTAAGTACAGGAAACCAAAGACGCCAAATTTCGAAACATACACAACAGTCAGCCAGTCAGTCAGTCAGTCAGTCACCAATCGAGAAATCCTGCGACTCACAAAACCTATCAAAGTTTCATCAGTTTCTGTGTGCCCAAGTGGTATTCAACTCAAGGGAGACAATCATTCTCTTATTTTAGGAACCCATGTGGGCGCAAATAGGCCTCATATTGGTCCACGTCGCCCTAAAACTATACAACCAACCAACCAGCAACCCATGGTCGTTGTAAGAGGCGACTAACGGGATCGGGTGGTCAGACTCGTTGACTTGTCATCGTATCCCATTTGCGTGGATCGATGCTCATGCTGTTGATCATTGGATTGTGTGGTCCAGACTCTATTATGTACAGACCGCCGCCATATAGCTGGAATATTGCTGAGTGCGGCGCTACACAACAACAACAAACACTCTCTTCATGTTATCTCCGGGGCTGTGGGGTAGCCTAGTGTTTAAGCGTTCGTTCTTTACGCCGAACATCCGGGTTTGATTCCCCACATAGGTACAATGTGTGAAGCCCATTTCTGTTGTCCCCCGCCGTGATATTGCCTTGTTATTGCTAAAGGCAGTAAAACTACACTCACTCACTCACTCGACTCACTCACTCACTCACTCACTCACCACCACTCACTCACTCACTCACTCACTCACTCACCACTCACTCACTCACCCACTCACCCACACACCCACACACACCACCCACACTCATGTTATGGCCCTTGTTTCAGTCGGTCGGACGGGCCCATGTGCGGAGCTGGCGAAGGAGCTTCCGCCGTTCAGTCTATTAGCAGTCGCCCCCATCTTGTCCATACTGACCCAGATGGCCATACAGCTGGGCGTACAGGTGTACTGCTTCCTCCATGTCATGAAACAACCCTGGTAGGTAGCGGAAGATCCGGGTTAGAATTGATCTTCAGTAACCCATGCTTGTCGTAAGAGGTGACTAACGGAAACGGGTGTTCATGCTCGCTGACTTGGTTGACACACGTCATCGTATCCCAATTGCGCGGATCGATGCTAATACAGAAAATCACTGGATTGTCTGGTCCAGGCTCGATTATTTACAGATCGCTGCATATAGCTTTAAAGTTGCTTAGTGCTGCGTTAAACTAAGAAATAACCCGAAATCTCCTGAACAATAATTTCCATTCTTTTAGTATGCATACCCTGAACTTTCCGGTATTCTCTGGCTATGTCCTGATGATGTAACTTGTGCTTTAGATAGATGTTACACAAACTCAAAACATAATTTAGAAAAAAACTATTCTTTGTCGGATTCACTGTTGATTTTTTTCTCGTCTGTGTTGAACTTTTGTTGTCACTGCTGAATGTTTGTTGTCACTGTTGAATGTGTGTCATCACTGTTGTTTTGTGTCATAACTGTTGAATGTGTGTCATCACTGTTGAATGTGTGTCATCACTGTTGTTTTGTGTCATCACTGTTGAATGTGTGTCATCACTGTTGTTTTGTGTCATAACTGTTGAATGTGTGTCATCACTGTTGTTGTAATGTTGAATGTGTGTCATCACTGTTGTATGTGTGTCATCACTGTTGAATGTGTGTCATCACTGTTGTATGTGTGTCATCACTGTTGAATGTGTGTCATCACTGTTGAATGTGTGTCGTCACTGTTGTATGTGTGTCATCACTGTTGAATGTGTGTCATCACTGTTGTATGTGCGTCTTCACTGTTGTATGTGTGTCATCACTGTTGAATGTGTGTTGTCACTGTTGTATGTGTGTCATCACTGTTGAATGTGTGTCATCACTGTTGTTATGTGTGTCATCACTGTTGTATGTGTGTTATCATTGTTGTATGTGTGTCGTCACTGTTGAATGTGTGTTGTCACTGTTGTATGTGTGTCATCACTGTTGAATGTGTGTTGTCACTGTTGTATGTGTGTCATCACTGTTGAATGTGTGTCATCATTGTTGTATGTGTGTCATCACTGTTGTATGTGTGTTGTCACTGTTGAATGTGTGTCATCACTGTTGAATGTGTGTCATCACTGTTGAATGTGTGTTGTCACTGTTGTATGTGTGTCATCACTGTTGAATGTGTGTCATCACTGTTGAATGTGTGTTCACTGTTGAATGTGTGTTGTCACTGTTGATCATGTCATCACTGTTGAATGTGTGTCATCACTGTTGTATCACTGTTGTTATGTGTGTCATCACTGTTGTATGTGTGTCATCACTGTTGTATGTGTGTCATCACTGTTGTATGTGTGTCATCACTGTTGAATGTGTGTCATCACTGTTGAATGTGTGTTGTCACTGTTGTATGTGTGTTGGTCGCTGTGTATCATCACTGTTGTATGTGTGTCATCACTGTTGTATGTGTCATCACTGTTGTATGTGTGTCATCACTGTTGTATGTGTGTCATCACTGTTGTATGTGTGTCATCACTGTTGTATGTGTGTCATCACTGTTGTGTGTGTCATCACTGCTGTATGTGTGTCATCACTGTTGTATGTGTCATCACACTGTTGAATGTGTGTCATCACTGTTGTATGTGTGTCATCACTGTTGTATGTGTGTCATCACTGTTGTATGTGTGTCATCACTGTTGTATGTGTGTCATCACTGTTGTATGTGTGTCATCACTGTTGAATGTGTGTCTTCACTGTTGAATGTGTGTCTTCACTGTTGTATGTGTGTCATCACTGTTGAATGTGTGTAATCACTGTTGTATGTGTGTCATCACTGTTGAATGTGTGTCTTCACTGTTGTATTTGTGTCATTACTGTTGTATGTGTGTCTTCACTGTTGTATGTGTGTCTTCACTGTTGTATGTGTGTCATCACTGTTGTATGTGTCATGTTGAATGTCATCACTGTTGAATGTGTCATCACATTTGAATGTGTGTCATCACTGTTGTATGTGTCGTCACTCTTGTATGTGTGTCATCACTGTTGTATGTGTCACCGTTGATTGTGTGTTGTCATTGTTGTATGTGTGTCTCCACTGTTTTATATGTATATTGTCACTGTTGAATGTGTGTCATCACTGTTGCATGTGTGTCTTCACGGTTGAATGTGTGTTGTCACTGTTGTATGTGTGTTGTCACTGTTGTATGTGTGTCATCACTGTTGAATGTGTGTCATCACTGTTGTATGTGTGTCATCACTGTTGTTATGTGTGTCATCACTGTTGAATGTGTGTCATCACTGTTGTATGTGTGTCATCATTGCTGTATGTGTGTCTTCACTGTTGTATGTGTGTCATCACTGTTGAATGTGTGTTGTCACCCGTTGAATGTGAGTCATCACTGTTGTATGTGTCATCACTGCTGTATGTGTCATCATCGTTGTATGTGTCATCACTGTTGAATGTGTGTCATCACTGTTCAATGTGGTCTTCACTGTTGTATGTGTGTCATCACTGTTGAATGTGTCATCACTGTTGTATGTGTCATCACTGTTGTATGTGTGTTCACTGCTGAATGTGTGATCATCACCGTTGATTGTGTGGTCTTCACCGCTGTATGTGTGTTATCACTGTTGTATGTGTGTCATCACTGTTGAATGTGTGTCATCATTGTTGTATGTGTGTCTTCACTGTTGAATGTCTGTCATCACTGTTGTATGTGTGTCATCACTGTTGTATGTGTGTTGTCACTGTTGAATGTGTGTTGTCACTGTTGAATGTGTGTCATCACTGTTGTATGTGTGTCATCACTGTTGTATGTGTGTCATCACTGTTGTATGTGTGTCTTCACTGCTGTATGTGTGTTGTCGCTGTTGTATGTGTGTCATCACTGTTGAATGTGTGTCTTTTCATGCTGAATGTGTGTCTCACTGTTGTTATGTGTCTTCACTGTTGAATGCGTGTCATCACTGTTGTATGTGTCATCACTGTTGAATGTGTGTCTCACTTAGTTGTATGTGTGTCATCACTGTTGTAATGCGTGTGTTCACTGTTGTATGTGTGTCTTCACTGTTGTATGCGTCATCACTGTTGCAGTATGTGTCATCACTGTTGAATGTGTGTTGTCATCACTGTTGAATGTGTGTTGTCATTGCTGAATGTGTGTTGTCACTGTTGTATGTGTGTCATCACTCTGGTATGTGTGTCATCACTGTTGTATGTGTGTCATCACTGTTGATTGTGTGTTGTCATTGTTGTATGTGTGTCTCCACTGTTTTATATGTATATTCACTGTTGAAAGTGTGTCATCACTGTTGCATGTGTGTCTTCACTGTTGAATGTGTCATCACTGTTGTATGTGTGTTGTCACTGTTGTATGTGTGTCATCACTGTTGAATGTGTGTCATCACTGTTGTATGTGTGTCATCACTGTTGTATGTGTGTCATCACTGTTGAATGTGTCATCACTGTTGTATGTGTGTCATCACTGTTGTATGTGTGTCATCACTGTTGTATATGTGTCATCACTGTTGAATGTGTGTTGTCACTGTTGAATGTGTGTCATCATGTTGTATGTTCAATGTGTGTGTGTCATCACTGTTGTATGTGTGTCATCACTGTTGAATGTGTGTCATCACTGTTGATCATTGTATGTGTCATCACTGTTGTATGTGTGTCATCACTGTTGTATGTGTGTCATCACTGTTGTATGCGTGTCATCACTGTTGTGTGTATCACTGTTGTTGTGTGTCATCACTGTTGTATGTGTGTTATCACTGTTGTATGTGTGTCATCACTGTTGAATGTGTGTCATCACTGTTGAATGTGTGTCATCACTGTTGAATGTGTGTCATCACTGTTGTATGTGTGTCATCACTGTTGTATGTGTGTGTCACTGTTGAATGTGTGTCATCACTGTTGTATGTGTGTCATCACTGCTGTATGTGTGTCATCACTGTTGAATGTGTGTAGTCATTGTTGAATGTGTGTTGTCACTGTTGTATGTGTGTCATCACTGTTGAATGTGTGTCATCACTGTTGTATGTGTGTCATCACTGTTGAATGTGTTTTGTCATTGTTGAATGTGTGTTGTCACTGTTCAATGTGTGTTGTCACTGTTCAATGTGTGTCATCATTGTTGTCTGTCATCACTGTTGAATGTGTGTCATATCTGTTGAATGTGTGTTGCCGCTGTTGAATGTGTGTTGTTACTGTCGCAGGTTTGTGCCCTACATCGACAACGAGGACGACTACTACGCTAGCTACGAGAACTCCGCCGTATTCCTGATTTCAAACTACCAATACATCACGCTAGCGGTCGCCTTTTCTAAGGGAGCGCCATTTAGGAAGTCTATATTTTCCAATTGTAAGTATACAGCTTTAGATATGACCAAGCTGCAATCTTCAGAACAGAGACATTGCTGTGGAAGATATATATATATATATATGTCAGAGTAGAGACTGCGATCGGAGATTCTACCAGTAGAGATTGCGATCGGAGTCTCTACCAGTAGAGACTGCGATCGGAGTCTCTACTGGTAGAATCTCCGATCCTACTAGTAGAGATTGCAATCGTAGTCTCAACTAGTAGAGACTACGATTATATGGAATAACCTATGCAAGCAAGTGCAAGCCTTTGCAAGCAAGTATAATAAGTGGGGATAATGTTTTCCTATTATTTGCCAGTTATAATTGAACTTATTTATTGTTATCGTGTTAACTTTATATGTTATGTCTGTTTTGGAGTAAGGTATTTTGTTTTTGTTTTTTGAGTGGAGTCCAAATTTGGCAGCTTGGCCTCATGATGTAAATACAGTGTTACAATCCATTTTTATTTTTATTTTGATATTGTTTACGGTGAGGTCTTAAATGTTTGTTATCAAAGTCTGTTAAAAGTAGGAAGTTCATTCAGATGTGTTTCAAAAGTTATGATCAGTAATTGTTATAAAACACTGCTTTCCAAAGAGGTGGGGAAATGACCAGGTGGGGATATGGCAGATGGGGTAATGACCTGGTGGGGAATTGCCCTACACCTATCCTCCCAAAATGCCGACATGCCAAGACACCTAAAACTACTAAGTTTAATGTTTGCCAGTTAACTGCTCAGTGCTGATTAAATACCTGACCTGCCTTACTTGGACCTGTTGTTATTAAACAGTAACAGTTGATCTCTTGATGAAAGAAGTTGACTCCCAAAAACATGTCCATGACTCCCTCTCATGACACCAGGGAGTCATGATTTACTCCTAATTTTTTTATGCCAAGGGCAAACACTGATTATGCATTTGATCTTGCTTGTAATCAGTTTTGTAATAAATGTATATATTGTAATATGATCTCTCAAGTCACATTTGTATTTTTAGTCCTTAATATATCTGTAGAAGTGGAAACAGTCTAGTGTTATATCTGAATAAAATGCATAGTACTGTTCAGAAAAAAGTGTCTTTGTTGTTTTCCCACAGATCACTCGGAGTTTCTACCAGTTGAAGACGATTGCAGCCTCTACTAGTAGGATCGGAGTTTCTACCAGTTGAATTGGAAAATGTACTGGTAGAATCTCCGATTCTACTGGTAGAGACTCCGATCGCAATCTCTACTGGTAGAATCTCCTATTCTACCAGATCGCAGTCTCTACCCTGACATATATACTGGTATGCGAGACATAGGGAACAAAACGTACCTGAATGAGTAGCCAACATGTAGATTTCATAGTTTTAATTTCTGGGCCCTTATTCTCCAAACGATCTTGGCCCAAAGAATTCTTAACTTTGATCGTAGCCAATGTGTTGAGAATGGCCTTAAGAAGTTCGTAGGGCTACGAACGTTTCGAGAATAGCTAGCCTGATTGTGAAACGTATGTCGATACATTAATATTTTGGACAACGTAATATGTTGATTTCGAAGGTCTTTGGAATTACGAAATACCGGAGTTCAGCAACATTGCTTAACAGTGTGGGTGGTTGGATTCCGTCTTTGTGACTCAATTTGGAGGAGGCACGAAGGCGTGGTGTTTAGTCAAGAAAAGAGGGCGCATAAATAAAGGTTTGGTGAATATGCTGTGAAGCTTCAGAACTCTAAATCTAGGATAAGATGTATTATCATTGGTTCCAGACTTGTTCCTCCTGAACATCGCTATCTGTTTGGCCGGCTGTTTGTGGATCTCTACAGTGCCCACACAGGGACTAGCGGACATACTTGAGGTAGGATCCTTGGGCCACACTTCAGTTACTTCCCGTTTTAAGTGACAGAAAATGTGTTTAATGATGTTGTATCTCTGAGACGCAAGAGAGTATATTTTACGAAAGAACCCATCTCTAGCCCAGCATGACTGACCAAGTATAGATTGCCTCAGGAAAAAAGAACATGTCCTTGACTTCTATTGCATTTAATTTATTTTGTTTTGTGAGATTTTGTTTTTTAAATAAGAGATTTACATTTCTGGGATTAAGTAAAAGTGACTAAAGTCATTTTCTTCAATGTGTGCTACCATAACCCAAAGGCAGGGGACGTTGTTAATATTCTCAACCACTCTTTTGTTTGATAATAAAACTGAAAAGAATGGATTTTGTATCTCCTGCTCTGCATTGTGGTTTAGCTTCACGGCGTAAAAAGGGGAGGTGGGGTAGCTTAGTGGTTAAAGCGTTGACTCGTCGAAGACAGGGTTCGATTCCCCACATGGGTACAATGTGTGAAGCCCATTTCTGGTGTCCCCCGCCGTGATATTGCTTGAATATTGCAGAAAGTGGCGTAAATACCAACTCACTCACTCACTCACTCACTAGGAGACGGAATACAAATGTTACTTTTGAACATATCCTAGTATTCAATACTCAATAACACTTGCAACTCTGAAAACGCGTAATATTCATCTCCTGATCACCATAATGAGACACAACATTGGAACTTCTATTGGTAGTTGCTGCCGTTCCCGTCCATAACTTATGCCATGGTGCACGTCGGCATTGCTCTCTTCAACTTCCTGATTTCTATCTTGGTTGAGGTGAGTAGTCCATGTGAACAGACCCGTGCAGATCCGGGATAGAATCCTGTAACCCATACTTGTCGTAAAAGGCGACTAAGAGGGTCGGGTGGTCAGGCTGGCTGACTTGGTTGACTCGTATTCCAACTGTGTAGATCGATGCTCATTGTGTTGATCACTAGATTGTCTGGTCCGGGCTCTGTTATATTCAGACTGCCGCCATAGAGCTGGAATATTGCTGAGGGTGGCGTTTAACGACAAACAAACTGACCATGTGAACAACTGAACTTAACTTAACTCTATTCCAGTTATTTGAGAGCCTATTGGTCGGCCTCCCAGATCCCAGAGAATCAATTTTACAATGAGTCCAGCTTAACATTTACGAGTCTACATTGCCTTAGCTTTTGGGAATCAAGAAGTGTTCTGGGTTCCTCTGGATTTTAGTTGTAAGCTTAACTCAGCCAAAGAACCTGTCAGCGTAATATCTGAGGACGCAATGCAGACAATATGACAGAGGAATGTTTTAATCACTTCTGGACCAGACAATCCAGAGATTGGCATTATCTACGTACTTGTAATACGATGACGTGCATCAACCAAGTCAGCGATTTTGATATCCTAATACTAAGAGTCTAATACACTGGGTAACCGCTTACAACCCCAGGATAGGTTGGGGGGATCTGGTATAGCATGTGACCTCCATAGCACCTTACCAGGTCAATGAAATAAACAGGCAGTGTGATAACATTAGCCAAATATTCTCTGTTTCTACAGACATACGTGATGGACAATACTTCTCTCCAGCAGAGCTGTCGAAATTTCTTCAAAAACTGTCTCCCTTCCTCGAAGACAAAATATGCCGCCATTGAAGACGACATTTCAGGGAATCCATCATGGCCGCCGGTGAGCCCGTCAACGGTCAGCCTAGCCGTGATCTTCCAGAGACTGGACAGTGCTCACCACGTTCCAAAAGATCTCAACACTGCTCCAGGGAAAGAGGTTCTTGAGGATCTCATTGAAGAATCTGACATTGACCCACAGATTACCAAATCTCTGGATGGAGTGACCCACAACCCAAGGAGTATCACATCTCCAAACGGGGTGACCCCGGATCTTACCCAGACTGCAACAGCAAACTACCCCCAGAGGCAGATATCGTCAGGGGATGCCGATTACCACGTGGGGCGGATGGAAGCTCCACTTCTAAATAATGACACTTCAAGTTCCAACTGCGGGATAGATAATCCCGTATTGACAACTGTTGAAGACAACGGCAAATTCACCACGACCTTCTGATACGACTTGACCGTGACATTCTGTTCCGACGTGACCTTAACCCCTAACATTCACTCACAAAGACGATAATCCTCAAAGTCAAACTTTTTGCAGTGACATATTTATGTCACTATTTACAAAACGAGTTAGTGAGTATTGTTTTACGCGATTTCCAGCAATATTCCAGCAATATCACGGCGGGGACACCAGAAATTGGTTTCATACATTGTTCCCAAGTGGTGAATGGAACCTGGACTTTCAGCGTGACGAGTGAACGCTTTAACCACAAGGTTACCCCACAGCTCCTTTTACACAGCTGACATTACTCAGATCATACACGTTGTCCTCAAGACAGCTGTATGAACCCGCTCTGAAGTTCCTCATCTGCTACAGACTTGTTTACAACCAGACTTTATTCATGCAATGTAAACGAATCCAACTTGAACAGATCCTTCCGTACTTTGAATGGCGATTGAATCTCTCACTCACTCACACACTCACACACTCACACACTCACACACACACACACACACACACACACACACACACACACACACACACACACACACACACACCATCATTTAGTCGTGATTACTTTTGCGACATCCTTCCCATTTTGTGTTTTGTAGTATTCTTTCAGTTGTCACAGTTGTTTAAACATACTGCCAACAGAAGAGCGGTCGAAATTAACGTCGGTCCTAAGGCCCCAACACGACTGAAAACCACTCTGACCCAAAGCTTTTGTTTTCTGCAGGTCCTTATGGCCATGTTTGCTGGGGATTACTTATATTGCAGCTACAATATAGGACCTACACATTCTGATTTATGGTTCTGGGTCCTCATGGCCTGCCGCTTTTCAGGGTGAAGTGCAAACACTGAAACAGAAGGTGTTCATTGTTTAGGTGTTTCTTCACACTTACGATGACAATTGTGCAGCACGAAATGACTCTGAAAGCACATTGCGTTTTTTTGTGTTTCATGTATGGAAATCAGCGCTATCATTACCCAGACATCATATACTGCTAGAGTTGTCGGACTTGGATTGTGAGAAATTTTAAAATGTAATGTCAGGGAGATTTATTAACAGTATACTGTAATCCGAATACACAGTGCCTTTTATAAAGTGGTCAAATGCCACATACCGTATTTCCTCTGATAAGCGCCGGGGATCTAATAAGCGCCGGGGGGTAAAGAAGCACGGTAACAATTACGGTAATTACCCCCAGCAGGCGCAAAAGCGCTGGGCCTCTAATAAGCGCCAGGTATGGAAGACCGTTGATAAAATATGCGGCCGGGAGCTTATTAGAGGAAATACGGTATGTTAAATTCGGGATTGCAATTTATTCAGTAAAGTACAGATTCTAGTACTTAGTTAGGAACTCATCAAAATGTACTAGAATCGGTTCGTATACTTTTCGGAGAAAGTGTAACTCCAAATATAGCATATGTAGCAGTATACTGTATTGGCTGTGGAATTCATTATATGAAAAATCTAAAATATTGTACTGTGAAAATATCGTGATGCGTAATGTATTGTGAACAAATTGTCGTGATATGTAACTAGTGTGAACCAAATATCGCGATGCGTAACGTATTGTGAACAAAATATCGTGATATGTAACGTATTGTGAACAAAATGTCGTGATGCGTAACGTATTGTGACCAAATATCGCAATACGTGACGTATTGTGACCAAAATATCGTGATACGTAACGTACTGTGAACAAAATATCGCAATACGTAACGTATTGTGAACAAAATATCGCGATACGTATCGAATTGTGATCAAAATATCGCGATACGTATCGTATTGTGAACAAAATATCGCGATACGTATCGTATTGTGATCAGAGTAATACTACTTGTATCGCGTCGTAAACATAACATCGCAATACTTATAGTTTCGAGAGATAGTCGCACCGTGACATTCCTTGAATACATGATGATGTATGAAGTGAAATAAGCTGAGTTGCATATTAAACATATAATAATAGTACTATCTAACAGAGAAAAGAACACTAATGATTTTCTCAACTTGTAAGACATTTTTAGATGTGAAATATATACTGAAAGGCAAAAGAAACGTCGTAATATTAGAAATGACATTTGAGTATCAATGGAGTATTTGAACCTATTTTTTTAAATATACACCAGAAGTCAAGTTTGAGGAAACATGAATCGTATAGCCTGCATTGCCCAATAAAGTATTGTTTGAGATCGAAGTTAGAAATGTTTCTTCTTTTTAGAGAGGGAAAAGTTCCCACAAACACAACATTGAAATCGAGATGCACGTGCGTAGCGACCAGAACTGGTATAAACTGGTCGCAACAGACATCGACTATGGAGCGCTGCCATTGGCATTTTTAGCAATCAGTAGTTAAAATAAAGGACACGAGATGTGCAGCTGATTTTGATCTTAATAATTGTTTGTCGATTAAATAGATAGTTGACAGTAAGGCGTATAATTCTCCATATTAGTTATCCCAGTTCTGGTCGCAACACACGTCAGTGTGGACAGTACCATTCGTAACTACACGGAAAGAGGCGAGTAGTTACGAATGTGGACAGTACGTCTCGGCGTTTGACGTAGGCGGTTCCGGCAGTTGACTCCGCCCTCGGCCTGGTCACGTGACCTTATTCGCACTCCTTACAGACAGTGTGAATGGCTGTTCAGCTTAACCAAAAGAAATGTCGGTGAACTGATTCAGAACTCGTCGTCTACCAAAGGTTTGCTGGTTTACACTCCGTGTCTGTCTTGTTCATGGTATTGTCCAGACTATTGGCTTGAGTGTCGTGAACTAAGGGTTGTGACTCTGAGGCCAAGCACCCACAATGTCAGTAATAACATACATAGTAATAACATATATAATACATATGGCAGGCTGTCAGATATATATAAAAGTATACCATAGGTGGACATATATGACACACAGACTAACACACATTACGGCTGTACGGCGTGGTATGTAAACAACCGAGTCTGGTCCAGACAATCCAGTGATTGACAAAATCTGACACGTTGACAGAGCATGTGTTTATGAATCGCAACACAAAATGTGATGAGACCAGGTGTTCGTGAAATGGTGAGTGTATCCTGCCCCACCGGTGGCACTGATGCATCAAATTGTGAAATGTCCCCAACATGTTTAATATGAAACCTTTTGAAAGCTTTCTGAGGCCTGGAAGGTTGTAACCTTGATTGGACAACTTCTGAGCACGATGAGGAAGAGTCTGAAATCTTGGTAAAAAGAGCATGCTCGAGTGTACCTGTAAAGGTGTGACATGTAAACACCAAAGGCTGCAGCTGGAACTTTTGGAATATTGCTCGACTTGTAACGATATATTTGTTTTCTTGGGGGTGGAATAGGTGGGTGAGTGGTCTTGGTGGCTTAGGGAAGAGATTTTGTCTCCTTATTAAATATTTTCAGAACAAAGGATGTCACTGCAGAAGAGGAACTATTACTGTTCCACTTTGCTTACTTTAATTCCGCAGCAGTGCAGTTGGGATATGAATCGCAGAACATACATGTAGCTCAACAGATAGATTAAAACTAATCACTTCAGGGTGATTAGGGCGTCATTGACCGGTGAAGATCTGGGATAGAATTTATCTTCAGCAACCCATGTTTGTCGTAAGATGCGACTAACGGGATCGGGTGGTCAGGCTCGCTGACTTGGTTGACACATGTCATCGAATCCCAGTTGCGCAGATCGATGCTCGTGCCGTTGATCACTGGATTGTCTGGTCCAGACTTGATTATTTACAGACCACCGCCATATAGCTGGAATATTGCTGAGTGCTGCGTTAAACAACAAACAATCCAATCCAGGGTTATATTATGAGGGGGAGGAATCACACGTCCTCTAGGTTCATCAAGGCGAAGACTACCCATGCTTGTAGTATGACCTGCCCCGAGCCAACAGAAATATGTTGGCAAATGTGGTGATCTATCTAGTGTAAATGAGACAGCAGTTGTATAAGAGTCAACAAACCCTTGGCTCTGCCTCGGAAACATGAAGTTCGAAATGAACATTTCTGTGTAGAACATGTACACCAGATCCATGTGCAGTTGGTTCTTTAGATGCAGGCAGTATACAGACTTGGATCAGGCAGCTTCATTGTCCAAGCAGGTTGATTTAAATCGTTCAAGCATCGTTTTCTTTGTTTAATGACACTTCATACTTAACATAGACAAAAGGTGAATGAATAGCCATAGAAAAAAAGGGTGCCCTCTAGTCCGCCTGTACACAGCGTAGAATCAATGTTTCAGTCTGACATTGTGCAACAGAACGTGAAGCACAGTCTCCTTATATATTCTAACCCACTCACTCACCATAACCATCACTGGTGCGTTGAAAGAGGACGTTCTGCACATTAATTAACCCCATCAGGTCGCGGGCTTCGTGGCAGCTGTTCTGACAGCACGTTGAGGTCTTCATGCCTTGGCTAGCAGGTGTGTGCAGGATTGCTGTGATGGAGTATGAACGACTAAGTGAGACGAAACCCTGTTGGGGTATCACTGTTGGCCTGGTGCTAGCCGCGACCGGAACAGCAATCCTCTGCGTGTGGTTAAATCGGACATATTTCAACACGTCGGGCACACTGAGTTTGTGCAATGCAGCAAATGTGACGTTCGGATATGACCATAGCAGCAAAAATGGTAAGATCATCATCATCATCATCATCATCATCATCATCATCATCATCATCATATGATCATGAATACAAAAGTAACTAAAGCGCAAGATATTGCACCATTCAATATTCCAGTTTGGTTGGTTGGTTTGCTGTTTACGACGCACTCAGCAATATTCCAGCTATATGACAGCAGTCTGTATCATATCGAGTCTGGACCAGACAATCCAGTGATAAACAGCATGAGCATCAATCTACGCAACGTGGGAACCGATGACATGTGTCAACCAAGTCAGCGAGCCTGACCTCCCTATCCCATTAGTCGCCTCTTACAACAAGCATGGGTTACTGAAGATCAATTCTAACCCGGATCTTCTCGGGTGTTGTTATTCCAGTAACCCGAAGGGTATAAATGGTTGTCAAATACTGAAATCATTCGCACTTGCAGCCGTTCAAGGTATGTAAATATTCCACAAGGCGGAAAGGTAGCCCATCATTCTGACAGTTTGTCTGTTTGGTGTATAACGTCTCACTCAGCCACGGTCTGTAAATACTAGTCTGGAAGACACTGTCCCGTGACTGATCTTCCGCGTCGATTGACTGGGATACGATGACGTCTGACAACCAAACTCAGCAAGCCTGACCACCCGATTCCATGAGTGGCGTCTTGCGACAAGCATGAGTTACT